TAGTGAACCTGGAGAAGACTAAAAGATGGGGAGAAGACCTTATTAGCAGTCAGAGTAAAAAGATCCAAGTCAAGGAAAGAATTATTCTGACAGCTTCTCTACAGCAACAAGAATCTAATGAAGAACTAAAAGAAACGAACTCTCCACTGGGATAGCTCATACCACTGAAATTATATTTCAAGAAGAGAAGTTGAAAAAAATCATTTTTATGTAAACAAAAATAAGGAACTTTTATAATAAACAGGCTTCTATTACAGGAAATGTTAAAGAGTATACTTTATATACTTTACTATGCTTTAAATTATCTCCCAGAAGGAAGAGCTGAGGTGCGAAAATAATTAATGGAAAAATTGACAAAGATGTGTAGAGCTAAACAAACATTGTCAATATTGAATAATAATAATGTCTAATTTATTGGATTAAATGATGAAAATAATATACTGAACAAAGGCATATTTTTGTGAGGTTGTAAGCAGAGTTTAAATATTTTAAATTCCTTTAGTTATTTGCAAGGGATTTATGATATTAAATTTAGAATAGGAACAGAATCTATAATTTCCAGTATGCAAGACACAAAAAGCATTGGAATAATAACATAAAGGAATAATGGAACATTTTGGAAAAAGTAGAAGCTTATAAAAATTGGGACCAGAGCAATGTAAAAAAAAATTCACTATGACAGAAACAAGTCCAAATATATTAATATCAGAATGTTCAGGAAATAGTTGTAAATGCCAAAAAAAAAATCCAACAATTATTAAAACTCAATTCTGCCAAGGGCTCATGATATCTAAGGAGAAACTCTTTTGAAGTGTTTATTGATGGCACAAAATGAAATTTGTGGTTCAAGTTCCAAACAAAGCAGAAAGTAACATTGATTGGACCTTTCTCACGGAACAATAAAGAATTATAGAATAATATGCATAGGCAGTGTTCTTTCTGCTTGATTGAAACATGAATCTCACAGCTCTTTGGCTAGCATGCACATATTACAAATGAGACAACGAAGGCACAGAACAATGGGGAAACTTACCCAAGGCTCCACTTCCAGGGAGTGGAAGAGCCAGTTTTAAACCCACAGTATGACTCCTGAGGCTGCGTGTGAACCACCTCTCCTCTACTACTGCCTCCATTTTGATTTTATACAGTTGCTGAGAGTTCAAAGCCAGCTCCCATACACAGGGAAGGATGAGTGGGATGGAATCAGTAATTACCCTTCTTGATTCAATTCAGAAGCTTCCACATTGAGAAAGAGACTCAAAGAAACAAGCTCACTCAGGTACAGCAATAAATTGTGTGCCTGCTCGTACCCACCACGGTGCCCAGAGTTGTGTGATGTACAGTGAACATACAAGTCACTAACAGACTATCCTGAGAGTCTACCTTAACCCACATTTTTCTGCGTTTAAGGTGATTCCCTGGTGTGGTTGACAGAAATCCACTTTTGTCTCTCTCTTTCCTCCTGAGCCCCATTTTCAATAGCTCAGCCCCTGCTGTGTATAAGGGGACAGTGAACTTGGGTAATCAAAAGATGACCCCATCCTGGTCTCCAAGCCTGAGCGAAGACAGACACAGGCTAGGAATCATTGGCCTTAAAATTCCAGACTGGCTTCCAGGTGATCATTACAAGAGATGGGTTGAAACAGGGCAGTTTAACCGAGTCCATTTTCAGAGCACCACGAGGTCTCGTCCTGACCTTGGAGAAGCCTGACAGGGTACCACAAGTGGGAAAATTGTTTTCAAGGATGCATGTGAATTTATCAGTGTGTTTTCTAAGACAAGCATGTTTTTGTAGGTAGCATTTAGATGGGATGGGGCAAAAGGTTGAGGGGTCAGAATGAAACAAGAAACCAGGAACATAATTTACAATTTTTTTTTCCAAATCACTATTTCACATTCTTTTTCTCGGAGGATAGGAACTGAACAGTGTCACCATGGCAGAGGTGGGTTTTGTTTTTTTCATCCTACAGTGACATAAAGTTCAAAAAGAATTAGGGATTACCAAGAAGAGTGGATAGCTTTTCAATGTAGTCTCTCTCTGGCCAGCCCACAAGGGTCTCTATAGTGCTGTGTGATCTTGAACAATCTTTTCTGTTCATATTATTTCCTTCCTCTGTTCTCGTTGTATTTCCCTGGGGAACAATCACTATTTCTCTCTGCTTCCCTTCGCCTGGTTTGTGGTCCAAGTCTGGTTTCCCCATCCATGTTTTCCCCACAAATTAGTCAAATTATTGCTTTCTTAAAAGAAGCCCTCTGCTCCACAGAGAGACAGCACTTCCTGAACCAGCACACTGGGGAGGGACAGAGAAGAAAGAAAGAAATACTGGGTGTGAGTGAGTTTCTCAAAGCATGTTTTCAATATTCTTTGGCGAAGGCCCACACTTATCGTAATAATGGCTGATTTCTTTAATAGTTTTCACCAAATAATAATTTTAATGTAAATAGGAGTTGCCACATATTGATCAGTTATCATCTGCCAGGCATATGCTAAACCCATTACACATTTTATTTTATTTAATCCTTACTTTCCCTATTTAATAATTGGGGAAACTGCATCTTAAAGACATGAATTTGCCCTTGTTCACACAGTGTGGAAGTGGGAAAACCTGGATTCAAACTTGGACAGGATTACCAAAGCATCTATGCTCTCACTAATGGGATGCAGAAGACCTAGCAAGGTTAGAAGGTGGATGGATGCTATGTGACTTTAAGGAAAAGAGAGAAGCAGGACAAAAATATGTTTTACTGAGCCCTTACTATGTACTAGGCATTGCGCAAGGGGCTTCTTGTGTGATGTTACTACTGCACAAAATTACTATTACAAGCTTAGGAGGGAAGAATTTTTGTGTCCATGTTTAATACATGAGGAAACTAAGGCTGAGAAATGCTGAGAAACTTGACCAAATCACATAGCTAATCAGCATTAGATGTTGAACAAAACCCAGGCCTGTCAGATTCCAAGGCTCATCTCTCACTAGTGCGTGGGGTCGGCAGCCTCTAAAATAGTCCCCAGGGATCTCCCATCTCCTGGTCTTCACATCCTTGTGTAATTCTCTTGTCTCCAGTGCGGACTGAACCTGCTGATTCACTTCTAACAAATACAGCATGGAAAAAGTTATGGAATGCCACTGCAAAAACCAGCTTCCTGAAAGATGGTGACTTCCATCCTCTCTGAGCCCCGTCTCTGGGGAAAACAAGTTTCCATAGTGTGGGTAGCCCTATGAAGAGGCTCACATGGCTGGAATGGATGACTCCAGCTAACAGACAAAAGAGAACTCGGGACCTGCCAAGAGCCACAAGAGTCAGCTTGGTGATGAATTTTCAAAGACGTGAACTTGGAAGCACATCCTCTCCTAGTCCAGCCTTGAGAAATCTGTAGCCCCAACCGACACCTTGATTACTGCCTTATGAGGCACTGAAGGAGAGACAGTCAGCAAAGCTGTGCCTAGATTCCTGACCCAGAGAAACTGTGTAATAATGCCCGTTTGTTGTGCTAAGCTGCTATATTTCAACACGCAGTGATAGACAGCTAATACAAGTGGGGTGGGTGGGTGAAGAATAGACAGGCAATGTATTCTAGAAGGTGTCTATCCTTTCTATTGGAAGCTCTGTATTAAATCCCTTCTGGAGCAAGACCAGCTTTAAATGACTAAAACACCCAGTAATGAAATGAATACATAAATATTGTATATTCCTTTGGGTTCACTAGTTTCTATTAGAATTATTGTACCCTTGGAGGAGTTAAGGTTTGGGATCAGTCACTTTAATCAATTCTATATGTTAGCTGAACTTAGCCTCAAAGAATAGAAGTTCTGAATTTTGGAGAGATGTCAAAAAGTGGGAAATTTAAAGTTAATAAACTGATTTGAAGTACTACAGATAGATTCTATGATGTGTAACTAATGCTTAATATTTATTGAGCTAATTTACCATAAATAACTTACAATTCACTCAATACCAGGCTAGATGTAAACTATTCAAAAATTAAAATTATATTTGATTCACTGCCCATTTGTTTATTTTATTTTTTAATTTATGATGGTAGTCCTGCCCTGCTTTGCAACTGCAGTGTCTCTATGGGCTGGATCCCAAACTAGTCAGACTTTTCACATGATCAAGACAAATTTGCTGTGAACTTCAGAGAGAAAGTGACAAATAATAAGCCAGCTAACCAAGAATATCTTTCAGGTGATGTCAAGGAAATAATCGAGATCTATTTTTAAAAGAATAAGAAATTAATATGCTACTATTTGGAGTGTTATCTTAATAAAAGGAAGGCAAACCTTGGTGTCAGTATAAAAATATTGATCTTGTGGATTGCTCAACCCAGTGCCTCTCAAGACTCTTATCTGAATCATATAGTCACGTGGAATTCTAGGTAATCACATCTAAGAACATTTTGTGTATTTTTGAAGATACATAAAGGATGCCCAGACAATGAGATCGGCCCCCTTGACCTTTCTGAGATTAAATTGGGGATGGGGGCTTTCCTTTGAGACATTCATCACTCAGGGGAAATATAAAGGTTCTTCTAGAGAAACCATGGATTTGAGAAGTGGTGAACATGCCAGATTAAAAATATTAGGTGAGGGCTTCCCTGGTGGAGCAGTGGTTGAAAGTCCGCCTGCCGATGCAGGGGACACAGGTTCGTGCCCCGGTCCAGGAAGATCCCACATGCCACGGAGCAGCTGGGCCCGTGAGCTATGGCCGCTGAGCCTGCGCGTCTGGAGCCTGTGCTCCGCAACAGGAGAGGCCACAACAGTGAGAGGCCCACATACCGCAAAAAAAAAAAAAAAAAAAAAAAAATTAAGTGAAGGCCTGCCTTCGAGAACTACAGAAGTTCTAAGATACAGACAGTTTGCAGCCCCGAACACTGTCAGTATCACTTTCATTTATCTTTCTGGCCAACCTCCATTTTTCCTTTCAAATCAAAAGCTAAAGTAAGACACACATTTAGGGGAAAGTTGTCAAAATTCATTTTATGGAAATGTGCTACTCACAGGTATCCTTTGATCAGCAGCAGCATCTTTTGAAATTGAAGTTGGATAGATTATATGGTGATCTGCCTCTTCTCTCCTTCAGAGTTCGACTAGAAATAAATTGGAAATGCACGTGAAAATACAAACACCTTTTTGGTTTGAGCTTCCCTGATATTGGTTTCACCCCATCTTCGAACAAGAAATATCACAAAGCTCTTGTCAAATGTGGCTCCTAGAATCTTCTTTAGGAAGTATGGACATGCTTAGCTATAACAAACTGTATTCATAAGTTGATCCTACAGAGTGTGCAATTAAACTAAAAACTTTGGGTCTCTAGGACAAACTCACGCCACACATCTAAAGAATGACATAGCTATCTTTGGGTTTTGCGTGTTCAGATCTACCAGTTAGCAACTTGGGAGGCTCAAATGACAGGAATATAAATCAAGCTAGATTAAGCAAAAGTAAAAATGAAATAATTGAAAAAGGCTAGGAGGGTTGGCCTCCCATTCAGTGTGGGTAGATAATTCAAACACTTTTATCAGAAGTTTATCTCACATTTGCTTATTCTCACTCCCTCTCTCCCCATCTTTAATTCTCCTTTCTGTTCTGTTGTATTTGCTTTCAAGCCAGTTCCTTCTATCTTATGGCAACTAATGCTCCAGACTTACACCCTCACAGCTCTAAGTCTAATACAATGGGCATGTTTTTTTCTTAGTAGCTTCCGCAAACACCGTGAAATTTAGACTCACTGGATCAGACTGAGTTACTTGTCCGTCCCTGAACCAAATGTTGTAGGTCTGGATTAGAACATGCTGATTGGCCAGGCTTGGTCATGGACTCACCCCTTGAGATTGAGGAGACAGTACTAGAGTCAGTCACACCTGGAGCACATGGAGTGGGACTGGGGACAGGGGGCCTACAAGAAAAAACTGAAGGGATGCTCTAGAATAGGAAATAGAATGTGAGCAGGAAAAAGTGACAGATGTCCATGACCTGCCCACCAACCAAAACTTCCATTAAGCAGTGTACATTTTTTGATAAAGCCAAAGTATTTTTTAATAATGTTTTATTGGAGTATAATTGTTTTACAATATTGTGTTAGTTTCTGCTGTATAATAAAGTGAATCAGCTATATGTAGACATATATGCCCTCCCTCCTGGACCTCCCTCCCATCCCGCCCCCCTCATCCTGCCCATCTAGGTCACCACAGAGCACTGAGTTGAGCTCCCTGTGCTATACCGCAGGTTCCCACTAGCTATCTATTTTACACATGGTAGTCTGTCATACAGAGTGAAGAAAGTCAGAAGGAGAAAAACAAATATTGTATATTAACGCATGTATGTGAAATCTAGGAAAATAGTACAGATGAACCTATTTCCAGGGCAGGAATAGAGACGCAGATGTAGAGGACGGACGTGTGGACATGGGCGAGGGGGATGAATTGGGAGATTAGGTTTGACAGAAATACACTATCATGTGTAAGATAAAGCCAAAGTACTTTAAACTCCTCATTAGGTTTAAAAATTTTGTGATGCCCTCCCATTTATTAAAAGTGATGACAACTCCAAATTAAATAAAAATAATTGGTGGACATGTATCACAGATGGCAAATTCTATTCTAAGTCTAGCCTGGCATGATGTCTATTGCCAACACATACAGGACGCCAAAAATTGGACAAACCACTTAATCTGATTCCTACCGTCCATCTGATTGGTAGTGAAAAACAATTTGACCAAAATCTGTGATGTGCTTGAGGAACCATTCTGTGAAAAAACGGGTCAAGTGAATTTTCTGAAACTGCAGGTATGCAGCACAGCCATAGTGTGTATACTGAACACATAAATTTCTTTTCCAGAAATACTCTTTTATAATCTCTAGCACTTAGTGTCAAGGTACCTTGCCCTGATGGCACAGGGGACATGCAGGTTTCCTCAGAGCTCAAAGACAACTCACATTCTGAAAGAAAACCTCCACGGCATAACAAATCTACTTTGAAACACAGTAGACTATTAATTTGATGCATCTGGGGGCTTCTAAGCTGAATAACTGGTCCAGTCTCTAAAATGAACGCTAAAAAGGCCATTGGCAAAGGACGGTAACAAGTTCTGCCATGTCTTCTTGGTCATGTCTATAATTTAACAAACATCTGTGGACACAATTACAACTGTAAATGTAAAACAGATGGCCCTGTCCATGTACAGAGAAAGGAGTGATTCGTATCAAAAAACAATCATAAAATAATTGGGTGCAAAAGCATTAACTTCAAAAAAGTTAATATACATCATCTTTTTCAAATTTTAAATCCATTTTGCTGCATATCATTATTTATTGAGTACCACAACTGAACTCCTAGCAATTAATAAGACAAACACTCAGAATAAACCAATGACCAAATAAATAACACATAACTTCAGACAGTGATAAGTGCTTTGAAGAAAAAGGCACAGGTTAGTGTGAAAGAGAGGGAGTGTGTGTGGATATGGGTGCCGGCGTGGGGAGAGATTCCCCGATGCAGGGCTGGTGGGTAGGGACAGCTTTCCAAAGGGATGACTAGGATGAAAGGAAGGAGCAACCCAGGAGAAGGTTTGGAAAGTCATTTTGAGGAGAGGAAAGAGTAAATACCAAGGCCCTGGGGGTGGTGGGGGTGTTGAGGGAAACAAATGAGTTTTATTTCTTTAACTGCCTTTATTTTGAAATAAGAAGAAACATTTTTAATGGATTTTTTTTTTTTTTTTTTTACCTAGAGCTTTAAAATGAGTTTTGTCCCCTTCTTCACACACAGGCAGGTCACACTGGTCAGCCTGTAAGTGGTTTCATTTCTGCGTCAGAATGTAAACTCCCTGAGCTTAGGGATCCTTCTCTCCTGTTGGTAACTACCATATTCCCAGACCTCAGAAGCACTTAGCACCCAGTAGGCGTTCATGTATCTATTAGATTTTTGGTATCAAATATTGCAAAGTGGTTAAAAAACCAAAACCTTGTTTTTCGGTGCACATTCGAGACTGCTTAACAAAGGGGAGAAAAAGAGAGAAAAAAAGCCAGTGCTGTAAGCTTTGTTTAGTTACACATTGCAGGGTTTTAGATCCCATTTCTGATGCCCACCGTAGCACTGAAGTTGATTAGAGATGAGCGAAAAAGGCCACATGTGCACTTGATACAAATCCCCAATGATATAAATTTCCTACCCTTGAGCACTCACCACAAAAAAAAGGCTTCTGTTTTTAAAGCACTTTTCACTATTTGATATCTCACAATGAATTCATTCAACAGATATTTGAGTGGCTTCTATGTGCTGGGCTTTTCTAAGGTCTAAATATATAACAGTTAACAAAACAGTGAAAAAGAATCCCCAAGGAGTTTACATTCTGACACAAGAATGGAATCACTTGCAGATTGGCAAATGTGGGGAGGAGCCAGGGCAGATGCAGCCTGTCTACGTGTAGCTTTTCAATTACCCTGGGTACCCCATGGGGACCCCCACTGCCACTGCCACCCATCGCAGTGGCTGAGCTGGGGAGAAGGAATAACTCTCACTCGCTATGTCTCTTCCTCTAATACCTAGACTTACATCACCCCAAAAAACTAACATGAACAAGTGATGGGGTTCTCTGGAGATCTGCGGGAAAGTGATGTATTAAAAAAGTGTTCCCGGGCTTCCCTGGTGGCACAGTGGTTGAGAGTCTGCCTGCCGATGCAGGGGACGCAGGTTCGTGCCCCGGTCCGGGAAGATCCCACATGCTGCGGAGCGGCTGGGCCCGTGAGCCATGGCCACTGAGCCCGCGAGTCCGGAGCCCGTGCTCCGCAACGGGAGAGGCCACAACAGTGAGAGGCCCGCGTACCGCAAAAAAAAAAAAAAAAAAGTGTTCCCGCAAAAAACCTAGGAGAGTGAGGAAGCTGAATTGGGAATGAAGGAGCCAAGAATGAGGTGATATCAAGCAAAGTCCCATGGACGGGAAACTTCGCTCAATCCTGCAAGGTAATCTGGACTCAGTGCAGGTCCCACCTGACTCAGGGCAAAAAGGACAAGGCAGCCTGACCTCAGTGCCATCAGCCATGGGTTGAGGTTGGCCCCGTGGGGTTCCAGCTCTCCCCATATTCAGACAGAACAGGTTCTTGGTGATGGCAAGTGGTGAGCAGGAAGATGGTTAAGAGATCCAAGGGGTTATGTGCACAAGACAGACAGCATCTCATTCAGCAGTGGTTCTCAAAGTGTGGTCCCAGACCAACCTCTAATACCACCTGTTAGAAATGCAAATTCTAGGCATCCAGCCCAGACCTACAGAATCAGAAACTTTGGGAGTGGGCAACAGCCACTGTAATAACCAGACTCCAGGTGACTGAGGCATGTTCCAGTTTAAGAGCTACCGAGCTACAGGAATGTTTACATGCAACAGGCTCTCCTTGCCCTTGAACCAAACTTAGCTCCAGCAGGGTGTGGGGAGACCAAGCAGAATTATGCCAAAATGAACCTGAACAACATGTCCCCCTCCAGCTTCCAGGCAAGCCCATCTCTCCAAGTCAACCCTGTCTCTAATTTAGTACCTTTTTACCTGGCTGTTTCTAATGCAAAGAGTAGTCAGATGATCATAATGGGGACTCTATTTCCCTTCTCAATGAAAACAGCGATTCTGTGAGTACCGATCCATCATTCCTGCCCATTATAATGAAATACTGTGTCTGAGTCCAATGCCAGAAATTAGAATGGTGATTCTTTAAGAAATAATGGAACACCCTCTATCCTCCTTCATAAATAGCTCTGGAGGTCAGAGTTTAAAATATATCATCAGTTGAAAATACAGGAAGAAAATTTCAATTTCCTTGAAATGTCTGACACCCATACAGATATTTTTACTCTTTGTAATGAATACAGATATTTTTACTCTTTGTAATGAAAACCACACTGTAAAACAGATTAACTTAAGAATTAATTGTAAGGACTTATCTTCAGACAACTTGGGTTTAAATCATGTCCCACACTTAGGAGCTGTGGGATCTTGGGTTACGTAACTTCTTCAGACCTCATTTTCCTTACATAAGAGGAAAATGGGAAGGTCTACTATTAGAGTTGTTAGAAAAACATGGGAGATAATATTTAACAGCTAACA